ATAAAAGATTATAGCAGGCATAACAACAAAGTCTGTCATTCTCGGCATTTACCCTGGTGTGTGGGTTTAGTGGGACCAACCGAGAAGCGGGGGATACAGTCCTGAAGGTTCTGTCACACCCCCTCCCCCTGCTTAACCTTTTTTTTTTTCTCATCTCTAAAATGGGTACAAGGAGCCCTGGTGGTACATTAGTTAAGCACTCAGCTGCTAACCAAAAAGGTTGGCAGTTCGAACCCACCCAGCTGGATAAAGACCTGGCCATCTTCATGGCTCCCCTAATGATTACAGCTTAGAAAGCCCTCTGGGGTAGTTTTACTGTCACGTGGGGTCACTATGAGTTGGAAATCAATTTGATGACACCTAACAACAACCCAATGGGGACAGCAGTGCTCGCCTTGTAATACCATGGCTGGGAATAAAGAGACAACAGAGACCAAAGCACTGCACACAGTCCTCGGCACAGAGCACACGCTCAAAAAATGTGTTCACTCGATGATGATGACTCCGCTTCCTGCTAACTGGTCATCTACTTTGTGCCAGCTGCTTGCACGTCTATTTTCTCATCTAATTCTCATTGAACCCCTGGAGTTCAGTGTCATCTCCATTTTGTACAAGTAGAAGCAGGCACCTACAGGTGAAGTGACTTGCCCAAGGTCACACAGCTACGTAAAGTGTAGAGCAGGATTTGAACTCAGCCTTGTCTGACTCTAAAACCCATACTTCTCCTGCCTTGTTTCCCCATCCTCCAATCTCTTGAGGTTTCATCCCCCCAGGAGCCCTCACCTCCTTCTCTTCTTCCGGGTGGATTTCTTCTTTTTCTTCTTACCCCTGGAGGAAGGCGGTGGCGTTAAGTCTTTGTCACGGGAGGCGCTGTGAGAACACAGTGAGATGGTGAGGACCGAGGGTTCTCCAACCCCCAAGCCAGGGCGGTGGTAGTCTGGGGCGGACCCCAGTTCTTTGGAGGATCCAGGACCCATGTTGTTGTTGTTGTTATTTGCCGTCGAGTTGGCCCCGACTCATAGCGACCCCTCCTTGGGTTTCCGAGTCAGTATCACTACGGAAGTAGGATTGCCCAACCTTCCTTCCGAGGAGTGGCTGGTGGATTTGAACCGCCAGCCTTCTGGTTAGCAGTCAAGTGCCTTAGCCACTATGCTACCAGGACCCATAGAGAATACTTAATGACCACCCCGTGAATGACTGGGTCACACAGCAGATTAAGTGCCTCAAATAAGGAGTTAATGCCAATCTAATGAGACACACGCTCGACGTTAACCAAACACCAATTGATTATTTAAAGCAGAGTTATAGAGGTTAACGACTTCTTAATAGATTATTGAATTTGCAAATGGCTCACCTTGGTAAATAAATCACTTTTTAAATAATTAATTGGCAATTCAGCCCCTCCCCCCAGCTCCCCAATACATGGCATCTGTAGTCCCTGCTGGAAATCTGAACAGAGACCGAAGGGATTTCGAGTAGCAGCTGATGATTAAAAGTGTATTTTCTGAGATCTAATGTAACGAGATACATATCTTATATCGCCTCACAGAACCTCAAAAACCTCCCGCTCTTCAGGAATAATTATTTCCTGTTCAATTAAATTCAACCATTCAGACTGCAGTTAAATGCAGTCACGCTATCTCCTTCATAATTGGCTCCCGGTATTTCTTTCTTTTTTAAACACTATCCCGTGCAAAGGGAGGTTGTTTGGGATGGAAAACCACTTGGGAGTTGAAACATGCAAAATCAGTTAAAATGCACTGGTAAAATAAAATATGAATAATAATTTGTCATTATTAATAACACCACTTATTGTGATGTTTTCTGTACTTTGACAAGCACAAAAACACTTAGAGGGGGGCCTGGCTTGGTTCTCATTTTACAGGTGAAGAAAATGAGGTTGCAGAGGTTGAGCTGGTTTGCCCTTAGCCACATAGCCAGGAAGTGTCTGAGCGGAGATTTGAACCGAGGCCTGTGTGGTTTCTATCTCGAGAGCTTTCCCCGTGAAATCAGCAGCCTTCCCAAATTTGCTTGTGTGGCTTATTTCCTGGAAATGACTCACCTCTTCAAATGTTGCAATATTTAATTCCATACTAAGAATCTAGATCATTATGAGTAGTAGAAAGAATGATAAGAATATATAGCAAGCTCTCACTATCTTCTATAAATAAAAATCCCATCTCTGGGTGACACCAAAAGAGGGTAACAGATACACAGCCTGATGAAGGTAAACAATGCCATTAAAAAGTACACAAGAAAAAAGGGTCATGTTGGTAATTGCTATGGCATATGTAATTTTGAAACAACAGCAAAAATAAAAGTCTATGTGCAGATGTCAGCGTATATGTGCATAGTCATGTATGTGTGTGTTAATCTAGGTGTCTATACAGTGTATGCATATATATATATATGCTTCTATGAGGCTGTGAGGGAGCTCTGGTGGTGTAGTGCCTAAGACATTTGACAGCTAACCAGTCCGGGAAGGACCCCAGTTCCTTGGAGGACTGAGGACCCATAGAGAATACTTGGTGGGTTCAAACCCACCAGCCACTGCTCAGAAGGAAGGTTGGGCAATCTGCTTCTGTAGTGATACTGCCTTAGAAACCCAAAGAGGGGTCGCTATGAGTCAAGTCCAGACTTGACAGCACATAAAAACAACAATAACATGAGACTGTGTACATACAGAGTTTTTATGACATATCTAATAGAGCACATGGGAATCACAGTTACAGATACTTCTTAGACAAAATCAAATCACCTTGTGCAACTGGGCTTGAAGAATTAGGATCATAGTCTCTTGGGACATCTTGGTCAATTGTCATAGTATAGTTCATAAAATTATGTTCCATATTTCTAGTTTGGTGAGTAGTGTCTGAGATCTTAAAAGCTTATGAGCAGCCATCTAAGGTATGTTTATTGGTCTATACTCATCCAGAGCAAAAGAGAAAGAAGGAAACCAAAGAAGAAAAAGTCTACAGGACAAATAGACTACACGAACCATGGCCTCATCTACCATGAGACCAGAAGAACTAGATGGTGCCCAGCTACCACTGCTGATTGTTCTAATCAGAGCCACAATAATGGACCCTGATAGAATGGGAAGAAAATGTGGGTCAGAACCTCATTCTGGGGGTGGGGTGGGTGGGGAAGACCTACTGCACTGGTGAAGACTCCCCAAAACTTTTGTCCTGAGAAACTCTTCAAACCTTGAACTGAAAGTAACCTGTGGTGACCTTTTACCTAAATAACAAGTTGGTTCAGAAAAGAATATCACCCATGAGTACCGTGCTCCTTTGAAGAATCAACTATATGAGAACAAATGGTCAACAATTACTTTAAAAACAAGTCTGTGAGGCAAGGAAACTAGATTAATGGAAGCAGAACAACCAGAATGGAAATAAGCATTCACTAGGAATTTGAGGGGAGATGTGACAGCATGTAAGAGAGAAATACTTTTTTAAGAAATCTTTGAAAAGTTTGTCTTGAAAAATAGGAAAAGATCCTATTATTTCAGGTGACCACTCTAATTTCAGGAACTCCATTTTCCTGGAAGAGCAGGGTTTGAGGATCACTGTCTTAGCCTCAGATTTATGAGATGGGATAATACAGAGGTCTGTAAGGGAGGAGTAATCAACCCCCTCCATCAGTCTCCACCTGCCTTTACCAGGTAGGTCTGTATTTCCCCCTCCACTCCTTTTCCTCAGCTCTCCTAGGTGTGCACAGAGGAACACCAGCTGAGTGCACAGTGGTGACAGGCACGGAGGTTACATATGTAGTGGTTATGTACGTAGCAGAATGGAGCAGTGAATTACTTAACATGGCCCTTCTAGCTATCGTCTTTGTGACTCCCACCACATGACTATGTGGTACTTGTGGTCCACCAAGGGGATTGGATAGCTTGCAAATAATGTAAACAAGGGGCATAGCACTTTTGGAGACGTGGGACCAAGCAAATAAAGTGTATGGAATGATAACATGGGGACTGGTCAGTTTTGCCATCCGTTTAGGCTTAAAAGGCAGAAAGGGGGCCCTGACTACCACCAAAAAGAAGAGATGGGAGTGATGCATGTTCTTTGGCCTGGGGTCCCTGCCCTGGGAACCTGCTCAACCCAGGAGACAGAGAGCTGTTGATACCAGGGAGATGGTGAGAGACAGTGAGAAGCAGTGGCAGAGCCAGCAGAACAAGGAGATGGCATGGTGGGCTTCCCAGCCCCCAGGGGGAGAAAGCTGGGTGCCTTCAGACTGGGGCCTTGCTGACCAAGTGGGGTACCTCCAACCAAGCACTTGGTGGAGCTATTTGCTGACCCACAGGGCTAGAGCTGAGTACCTTCAGGCTGAGGCTTATTGGCAGAGTGGGGTACCTCTGGGCACCTATCGGCAGAGTTAAAAGAGCTCTCTAACACTTAACTGAGCAGGTCAGAGGCCAAGGGGCCACACGGGCCAGAGAGAGGAGTGCCTATGGGCACTGCAGCCAAGAGGCTGTCCTGACTGAAAAACTATCCTGAGTCCTTTCTGATCCTGAATTGTAACCTGTTGCTTCCCTAATAAACCCAATAATCGTGAGTATTATCTTTGCATTCTGTGTGGCCTTTGCAACGAGTTCTCAAACCCAGCAGACAAGTGGAGAGTGCCATGGGAGGAACAGTTGGGGTCAAAATTGGTCGAAAGTTTGGAGGGTGGAGGCTGCCTTATAGGGGTCAGCCTTGGCTGTGGATCTTGATCCTCTCCCCCTGCCCTATGAAGTTGGAGGCGGTCAGATGCCACTCCCAAGCCATTTTTATAAGCAGTTACAAATGCAATGATGAAATACAGTAAGTATGCAGCAGTTAAGCTTGTAGTGGTTAAGTCTGCAGTGGTTATCTGCACAGAGGGATTGTGTGCAATAGCAAAGCCTGCCCTGACTCAGTCTGCACTCATTGAGTGTGCAGAGGTCACGTATCCAGTGGTTAAATATTCCATGGTTACATATCTGATAGTTAAGTAGACAGTGGTTAAGTATGCGGTGGTTACCTGTCCAGAGGTTTCTTAGGTAGTAGTAAAGCCTGCAGTAATTAAGTACTAGCTAGTTAAGGATGCAGACGTCAATTACAGTATTGAATGCAGTAGTGAAATAGCCCATGGTTACATGTGCAGTCATTAAATAGACAGTGGTTTAGTATGCACTGGTTATCTATGCCATGGTTACAGATGGACTGGTTCAATACACAGTGGTGAAGCATGCAGTAGTTTAATTAATATGCAGTGGTTAAAGATTTCATGGTTACAGGTGGACAGGTTACGTCTGCAGCAGTACAGGGTGCTGGCTCTGGAAGCTGACAGACCTGGTGTAAATTCCGGCCCTATTGCTCTCCATCTCAGAGACCTCTCTGAGCCTCACTGTCGTCTTCTGTGAGATGGGAGTAAAATACGGTGCCTCTGTCATGGATCTGTTGTGATGAATGAGGGAGCTCCCTCATCATGTGCCCTGGTCTAGCACAGTAAGTTCTAAGTCAGAGGGGTTCTGTCATTATTGTGACCTCTGTTACCACTATTATTATAATAATTATTATGATCATGTCAGAGCTTCAGTCACAGAGAGAAGGAGGGAGCAAGAGGCCCAGACATTCTAAATCGAGGTGACAGCATGCAGCATTTCTCAGGATTTCACACTCAGAACCTTCTCTTCTGGTTCCTCGGGTTTCCATCAGTGTTTGTGAGCCCATCCCATGTTCTAGGCTCAATGACAGGACATGTCTGTGCCTCACCCTACCCGTGAACATGAGATCTTCCCACCCCCGTTTTATCGTGAGGAGAACTGCAACCCAGGGAGGAAAAGTAACAGCCACTTGGTAAATGGCAGGCTTGAGTTTGAATGAGTGTCCCTACAACCCACAGACTCTCCCCAGACAACCTGAGAGACAAGATCTTGAAACTCCAAGTTCCCTTCCTCTCCCTTCTCTCTCCATCTCCCTCAGCCTCTTGTAGAAATAGCCCCTTTCCACCTTCCCAGACATAATGCTGAACCTCTCTTCTCCAAGCTGATGGGACTTCACTGTTTCTCTCTCATTGAGCTCACAGCCTAATTAAAGTCCATACCCAAGATGGCAGCATGGGTGGAGGGATGGACTTTGGATTTTCCCATCCAAAGTCAGTGGGGTTTGCTTTGGCTCCCCAGTTCCCTTTTACAAAATTCAGCAACCACATCAGGTAGAACTGGGGTTATCTGAACTCTGAAGAATGTTATGTAGATTTTGAATAGTGGGAGCTCTGGTAGCATAGTGCCTAAGGCTAGCATAGTGCCTAAGGCACTTGACTGCTAACCAGAAGGCTGGCTGTTCAAACCCACCAGCCACTCCTCAGAAGGAAGATGGGGCAACCTACTTCCATAGTGATACTGCCTTGGAAACCAAAGGAAGGGTCGCTATGAGTTGGGTCCAACTCGACAGCACAACAACAGCTGGAGCTTAGGCATTTTTCTTGGGGGCAGCAAGCATAGTTTCTATCTAGTTCTCACATGGTTCCCCAGAATGGCTTAAGACCTCCACCTTAGTAAACAACACAAGCTTCAGAATGTAGAGAGAGAATATGGATCAGAGTCTGGATATTTCAGGCCTTGTCCTGGTCCTACTACCTACTGGCCACAGTTTTCCTATGGCTTTGACACTGGTTCAGCATGAGGAGGCAAATATGGCAGCCATATTTAGGGCAATGACTTCCTCTCTCCAAGCCCCAGTACAATGCTGTATCCTCTGATCTGAGTACAGTACCTCAGAGGTACTCAAAAATATTGAATAATTGAATTAAGGAGTAAATTCAGTGATCTGGACTGAGGAGATAGTCCTGGGCTGAGTCAAGATTCGGGAGTCCCTGGCTCAGACACAGTCCTTAAAATAGAAATAAAAGGAACTCTGTCATTTGAGGCAGGGGGTCAACAAACTGTGGGTCACAGGCCAAATTAGGCCCACTTCTTGTTTTTGTAAATAAAGTTTTATTGGAACAGCTACACCCATTTGTTTACATATTGTCTGTGGCTGCTTTCACCCTTCCAAAGCAGACTTGGGTGATTGTGACAGAGATCTATCCTGACTAATTCACAAGGAGAGACTGGAAACCAGTGTTTATCTTACCTTCTCAAGGCCTACTTGGAGGCCAAAGCATGAGAAAATTAGTTCACACTTCACTTTGCCATGTCTCTGCTTTGTTTGTGTATGAAATGGAAACCATATGGCCCACAAACCTAAAATTTTATCTGGTTCTTTATAGAAAAAAAAAATTTGCTCACTCATAATTTAAATGACAGTAAAAATAACTTGCAAAAGAGAGTGGGAGAGATGGCCAGAGAGGCAAGCTTCATTTCTGTATCATCCATTTGGACATCCCATTGGGATGAAGGAAGGAGGGGGCCAGCAACTCACCTGCGTGCTCTAGCAGGACTCAGTTCCCGGCAGGCCTTGTCTCTCTCCCAGCTGTTGGTACCCAAGGCCTCAGCAGCCAGACGTTGACCCAGCTTTTGTGAGGGGCCATCCTGATCTGGGACCAAGGGGCTGCTCTGGGGCTCTGCCCTGCAGGAGAAGAAGTCAGGAGGCAAAAGTGTTAGGATATGACAGATTGACTTAATGCTCACCAAACATTCCATAGACTTCCCAGTATTTCCCAATTGCCCTTGCAGCACATTGGAGTCATGAGATTATCTGTGGCCAGTGGTCTCAGAGTGGGTATTGCTGTTGTTAGGTGCCATCGAATTGACTCTGACTCCTAGCAACCCCACGTGACAGAGTAGAATGGTCACATAAAGTTTCTAGGCTGTAATCTTTATGGGAGCAGATCACTCGGCCTTCTTCTGTGGCACCACACTACTAACTTTTAGGTTAGTAGTGGAGTGCAAACTGTTTGTGCCACCCTGGGACCCATCTGGTTGCTAAGGCTACACAAGGACGCATCACCCTTGTTGCTGGATGTTGTTGAGTTGGTTTTTGACTCACAGCAATCTCATGGGACAGAGAAAAACTACCCCCATAGGAGCTCTGGTGGCATAGTGTCTAAGGCACTTGACTTCTAACCAGAAGGCTGGCAGTTCAAACCCACCAGCCACTTCTCAGAAGGAAGGTTAGGCAATCTATTTCCATAGTGATACTGCCTTGGAAGCCCAAGAAGGGGTTACTATGAGTCAGATCCGACTCAACAGCAGTGAGTTTTTTTTTTTTTTTTTTTTTTTAAATAGGGTTTTTCAGACCTTAATGTTTACAGAACACCACCAGGTCTTTTCTCCCACAGAGTCACTGGGAAGGTTCGAATCACCAATTTTTTATCAGCTGAGCATTTAACCGTTGCATTGTGTGTCATTTCCAGTTCAAGGCAATCAGTGTGCCTTCTCCAGCTCTCCCTCTGCCACTGTGACTTTGGAGGCCCTATATTCTGAAAGGTGACACTACTAGATAGAAGAAAGATGCCCAAACCACATCAGACTTTGCATGAGAGAAATAAACCCTAATTAGGTGAAGGCACTGCAAGTTTAGAGTTTCTTTGTTACTGCAGCATAGCATAGCCTATCCTGACTAAACCACTGGGAGAAGCTGGAAACCAGCATTTCACTTGCTTTCTCAATGTATAATTGGAGATCAAAGCATGATGGAATTCATTCAAACTCTCCTTGGCCATTACTATTCCATTTCTGTGCCTTGTTTGTATATGAGACAGACAGTTGGCCCTCCGTAGCCACAGTGGTGCATCTGCAGATTCAACCAACCACTGATTGAAAATATTTGGGAAAAGAAAAAAACCTTTTTAAGTAGTCAAAGCAATCCCTCAAAGGCTACAAGGGAACATAAGGTGCTATTGGCCTAGCATTTACATTGATTAGATATTGTAAGAAATCTAGAGATAATTTAAAATATAGAGGAGGATATGTGTAGGTTACATGCAAATTTAATGCCATCTTATATAAGAGACTTGAGCATCCATGGACTTTGGTATCTACAGAGGAGAGCGCAACTGGAACCAATCTCCCATGGGATTCATTGTACCTGGATTCAAATTGTGTCTTAACCAGTTAGTAGCTGTAGGATCCTAGGCCAATCACTTAACCTTTCTGTCTCAGTTTTGTCAATTACAATATAGGGAGAATAATAACAGTCTGTGTATCACTGAGGTATTGTGAAGATAAAATGAGATAATATATGTAACATGCAAATAGGCCACAAAAGTCAGTTCTCTTTCCCTTCACTTCCCCAGGAAGCAGATCTTCAATTAGGTGTCCTTAGCAGATACAAGGTCACCTACTTCAGAAGTTGCCTTGAGGGCCCAGAGTTCTCTTCTCTGTAACTTACACAGGCTTCCAACAACACTGGGAGTTCCCCGTTGGTTTTTCCTTCTTTTTTTGGGGCCCGGGGGGGGAAGGTTGTTTGCCCATTTCTTCGGTTTTGAAGACTATCCCCGAGACTTTCTGGCTACTTAACCAGAAGGATCACCACCTGTCTGTCACTTTATCATACTGTGGTGGCTTGCATTTTGTCATGATGCAGAAAGTTATGCCACCAGTATTTCCAGTATCAGCAAAGTCACCTGTGGTAGACAGGTTTTAGTAGAGCTTCCAGACTAAGACAAAGTAAGAAGAAAGATCTGGTGATTATTTTTGAAAATCAGCCAATGCGAACTGTAAGTATCACAACCGAGTATTGTCCATTATAGTGCTGGAAAAGGAGCCTCTGGCTTGGAAGGCACTCAGAACACACAGTGGCCACAACCCTGGACTGGAGCACACCAATGATCATGGGGATGATGCAGGGCTGGCCAACATTTTGCTCTATTGTACGTGGAGTTTCTATGAGTTGGAGTCGACTCAATGACAGCTGACAACCACCACCACCAGGAGGAGGCGTGGATTTTAGAGTTACAGGTGTGTTTTGCACCCTCCAGTTAGTACTCTTCCTGCCTTCAGACCCCAGGCCAAGCATTGATTGAAGGCATTAACATTTCTCATGCACCATGCTCCTGCAGCCAGTGCATCAAGATTGGCTTTATGACTCCAGATAAATCCATCTGATAAGCCCCCTGCTCCTTAGGGCTGCAGGAGAACAGGCCAAGTCCGGTCAATAGTGAAGGAAAGACAGCAAAACACATCCATCTCTGTCAGCCACTTATCGGAGCATCTTAAAAAGCTGAGCTGGGGATTCAAAAGGGAGTCTCGTCAGTAATCACCATGCTATTTCCCTCTAGCATCTTAGTGCTTGAAAAACTAGGTACAGCAGTTTGACTTGGGGATTCTGGTGCTCTAAACAGCTCACTGAGTCAGAGTGCACCAAACTCAGAGGAGTAGAATTAAAGAGGAGAAAGGTACAGGGGGAAAAAAATAAGAAGATCTATCCTGTGGAGCATCAACAGGCAGCCAAGAAAGGCCATCAGAGACTTCCCTGGGGGGAGCAACTGGCAGGCAAGAGCAGATGTCCTAGATCTCCCTGGGTTAAGGCAGAAGACACACCACACCAGCATACCAGCGATCACCCCAAGGATCTACCTTCAGCACCTGATTTTATTGGTAACTTTGGTTGGCTAGGTGCAAACTGGCATGTCCAGCACCACTGAAACCCAAGCAGAGAGTCCATTGGTGCTGCAGGAGGGTAGGCCTGGGGAGGGGTCCCCGCAATGGGTCAGCTTGGGTCAGCTTAGTGGCATGGAGAGGCTTGGGTCAGCTTAGTGGCATGGAGAGGCCTTCATTTGACTTTATCAGTAATATTGGGACCACAGATTACTAGCAGGCACTCTCCTGACTCCAGCACCACTGAAACAGCACCAATCTTTGGTGCCGCTGGTGGGCGGACCCACAGAGGAACTTCTGAGGCGGATTCTGGTCTAGGCTGGTTGGGCCACCAATGTGGGTGGGCAAGGCCAGAGAGAGAAGCCCCCATGGCAGATAGCGGAGCCTGAAAGTTGTCTTGGGCCAGTTTTTTTGGCACCAAGGGGCCTTGGAAGTGGGGTTTTTTCATGTGTCTGAACCTGGTAGAAAGTGGTGACCCCCTAACAACTGGAGTCTTTGCTGAAATTGAGCTGTTGGCCTGTAAATAACAATATGACCTCATCGGTAGCAGCCTGCTCAAAGCCCTAGAAACTGCCCCTAGCAACAGTGAGCTTTCCTTCTTCCATTCCCACCTTCTCCACCAATAGCTTCACTCATCCAATAGAAGCAACCACATTCAGCCAACATAAAACCTCCTGGTTTGAACTCTAAACCCTCTTTACAACCAACAGAAACCCATACCTACCTTCCACACAGTGACTCCACCATCACAAAGAAAACTGCAGAGTAACCCAGCATATCTGAATTAATAACTAAAAAATAAATAAAATACATCAGCTTCACCTTTTCAAAATATTAAACCATAAAACCAAGACAAAACAAATCAATACATAGCCAACAGTTAAAGACAACCTCAAAATGTCTAGGAAACAACAGGCAA